TTTATATCATTGTATTTGTGCCCCCAGACTAGAGTACTAATGTGAATGTGAACTTATTGCCTGAAAGGTAGTTACAGCTGGCTAAATTGTGTTGGTCACCAAAACTCTGTATTCAGAAAACAGAAAAAAAGGTAAGTAGAAGCAAAGATGATGAAAAACTTGGGAAAGGAAAGTGTAAGAAAGGAAAGAAATACAAAGCTGAATTAATGATATAGAGAAGGAATGAGACTGGAAGAGGTTGTAAAGACTGAAGGGCGAAAGTCTTAATGTTTGCATCTTTTAGAATTATTTTTAATTTTTAGACTTCTGTCTCTGTTTTGAAAACTTATTTTGCTTCAGTGTGCAGAACATTTAAAACTGTATTAGTTTTTAGCAGCTCTCAGCATTTAGTGTAGCTTGTTGGCACTGAGGAGAGGCTGTCTTTTTTTCCAAACAGGCTTCAAGGAACTCCACTTTCAGTTTCCTTTAAAAATGTTCTGTTCTTATGCATGAAGCAGTAAGTCCAACAAACAGTTAAAGAATATATTTTAAGTTCAGATAAAGGAGGTGACATGCCTGATGTTGTCTTTTTTGTGTGGAACCATCCTATGGAGAAATGGTCCATTTTGGTGCTCCAACTTAAGTCTGCCAGAAACTTAGTAAGTGAAAGCGTTCTGTTGGATTTCTGATAAACCTTAGATGGTAGGACAGCTACAGGCTACCCATTCTGGTATGTTGTTTGTGACTTTGAAATCACTATTTTGTCCTGTGTAAAGCCTTTCAGAAAAGTCCTGCTTATATCAGACCCTGCTGAATATTAGTAGAATTATTCTTGTATTAAGGGGACTTCATCCCTGTAGGAGCTGGACTACCTTCTTCCCTGTGTTTTGTCAGGCAGATGCTATGTACCTGGAATGTAGGAAATCCGAAGAAGAAACTAAACTTGTGTGGTAGGATTCTTCGCTCAAGATGCTTGTTTTTTCTGACTCAAACATTTTCTGTGAGTTTTGAAACATTCCAGACTGGGGACACTGCAGAAAACTTGTTTCCACTTCGCTTTGTTATAGAAATCTTAATTCAATCTCTTTAGGAAAATGCAGACACAACTTCCCTTGCCTACAAATGTGCCAAAGTTGTATAAATTTGCAAATGATTGTTCCTCCCTTTTGGAATTTTTCTCTGGAGTGAATAGATTGTCAGTGTTTGCCGAGCCTCCTACGTGTACCCAAAGGCCCCTGCAGTGAAAGGGATAGGTAATGTTAACAAAAAATAAAAAAAAACCCGAAACTTCAGCAACTTAGTCATCTGTTCAGTAGAACAGCTTTACATGTTTTATTTACAATACATAACTCTTGCTTTAACAGACTCTGTTTCATCTGTGAAGAGACACTTTCAGGGTTTCAGCTTCACATTTAAATGTCAGAAGAACTTGAAACATATGTATTGTATTTTCTGCTTTTTAAAGCATTACTCAGACACCCCCCCCCCCCATTTGTTCGGTAGGTTTCCACTAGAGAGATGGCAATAGCATTAAAGTTACTGGACATGCACAGCAAAATACAAGATAACTTTGGCTTTCCTATTAAATAGAATACTTTTGAATGAAGCTCAATAGATGGTTGCAGGTATGAAATGCTTTATTTTACATAATAAATGCATTCTCTTCTTCCATATTGAATCAACTCCCATACTGCTCTCTAAAGTGTTCCAGGATGGTTGTAATCTGTACTATAGCTGCATTTTGTTCAGTGACATTGGCAGAGGGGCACAGTGCTTGCACCACTGTTCTGTTTTGCTTTTCAGCTCAGTTTGCAGAGCTTGAACTGTCTTCATTCTCAACAATGATGCCACTTAATCTACATATTAAAAGTTTAAATTCTCGTTAGGTAGGCATTGAATTTTGGAAATACAGTATTCATTTGAGATTTGTAAATCATGTTCATACATCCACAATTTGGAGAAATAATTAGCTGGAAGATAGCTTGTGGAAAAGTTTCCAGACAGTTTGGTAGTGCGAATGCAGGTTTTTGAAGGTGATAGTAATTAAATGCAGTTATCCATCACACTGAAGTCTGGGAAATTCAAAGGCTACAGGTAAGTGTACAAGTTTGCTCTGTTATCCTTGAAAAATAACAGATGAAGTGCTGCACCCATCTTCAAAACATGACAAAAGTACAATGAGTCAGCCTTACTCTGATCTGTGGGGGAATTATGGTGCAGGTTATATTGGAATGCATTTCTGGATACCTGGAGAGAAGGAGCTACCTGAAAGCATATTTTTGCCCTGCTGAAACTTTGCCCAATTGAACTGCACCAGAGTTCCTGTGCCAGTGCATTCAGGAAGCAATTATATGTAAGCACTGCATAAATTATGAATGCATTGGTATCCAGAAGTTAGAGGTAGGTGGTATCTGTAGGAGAGCACTAGGAAGTTTTTATGATATAATGTTTATTTTATACTCATCTGAAATATAATCCCTGTGTTGTGCACTGATTGCAGCTTTGTGCATAGAACAGTGTGCTTTTAAGATTTGCTTATGCAACCACTTTGTATCACAAAGAAGTGAAAGATATTGCTGCATACAGATCTGATTAAAATGCCCTGTGATTCATTGAACAAACAAGGCAAAACAGTGCCCCTTAAATCACTTCAGAGGTTTTTAGAAAAAATCACCTGTGTTGCAACTTGAATGGAAGTGTGTTGAGGGTGCTTTGTCTTTTTCCAGAGAACGGTTAAGGTTTCTCACTGGAATCAGTCGTAGTGCCATTCCAGCAAATGAGTAAAACTTCTACCCCAACATAGCAAAACTCAATATCCAGAACTGTTCTGTAATCATAGGTAGATTTTCCCACTTCTTGATTAGCTTTGGTTGTTTGCAGCAGACTTAGTTGGGCAGTTACAATCTGCAACTTCTCCATAATCAATTAAAACCTTACTGATTTTCTTAAATGCTTATCTGAATTCTGATATCCACTGTTGGGAAAGAATTTCTTTTCAGCCTTTTGCTGGCCGTGGGGAGAGCTATTAATTTATTGAAGTTACACTGTACCTTCTATTGTAAACCTAGTCTTCGTTGCATGAATTTACAATTTTATAACGTGTTTGCCAGGAATGTCCTGGCATCTTTTAAAATTTCACTGATAAAGATGCTTTCAGGTTGTCTGGTGTAAAACCAGCTTCATTGGAAGTGGCTTCTTTGTTTTCTCTGAGCAAGAAGGTAGCAGAGGAAGACAGCTTCTAACCTTGAAGTTGATGGAAGCTCAGCCTGGAAACAATCAAGATGTTGACTGAAGCAATCAAGAAAATGATGGATTTGAGTTTGATTTATTATGCCTTTTAGTTGCTCAAGTTCACAGTCTAAGAAAATCAAATTTCTGCTAAACTCGGGGAGCTGCTTCTCCTTGTTATATTTAGTTTGTGTGCTTTGTATACTAGAAATATGAAGTTTTCCAGTCACTTATGCTTTGTCCAATATGGATTGCTTTTATCAGAGTAAACAATGTCTACATAAGCTGTGTACAATTCACTCATTCCAGAGAAAATGCTGCCTTGAATTTAGTTTCTACTAACTATTCAGAAGAGATCATTTTACAGTATTTTTGCTTCATGCTTCATCTTGGCATTTTAGAACGTCAGCCCTTTAAAAAACTACTTAGAGAAATCATCTTACCCTGGTTATGGAAATGAAGGGATCAGCTATGGCTTGGAGCTTGTTATGCCACATTGTGTCAACGAGTATCAGATGGTCTCTACTTCAGGGTGACCTTTAGTCCTGTAGGCTAAATGAATAAAACCAAGTATAGGCTTAGTAAGCATTATGAAGTCCATCAGAAAACAATATAAACAACAGGCATCGTTTGTGTGGCATGACCTTGCTGTGGGCGTAGTTGTTAGGAGCTCAGATGGAGTCCCAGAGAAGGGGCTGGGGAGAACTGTGAGGCATCACTGGGGGTCCTTCACCCCAAGGATACAAGGGGCTCCTCAATAGAGTTCTGAGTCCAGTGTTCCTTGCCAGACCTCGTATCCCCTTGCTAAGCACAAACACTGCTGCTTCTGCAACTCCTCCAAGTATCTGGAGGCCATGCCTTCTTCAAAGCAGTGGGCCTGAAGTAGTAATCTCAGGTGAGATGCATTTGCATCAGTTCAGACTATATTGTCTTCTGTTTTTTCATCTAAATTCAGATTAGTGCACCTGTGTATCTTGAGGAAAATTATGTAAATGAAATTGGTGGCTTAATATATCACTCTGTTGTTCTGAAATAATTTCTAAGAAACTTGTTAGAAGCTTTAAAGTATTTTGGCTCGTTTAAGCTTTCACACTGGAAAAAATCTAAATTTTGAAATGAATGACTTGTGGAGGAGGGAAGAAGTTGTATATTTAAGTGATGGTATATCCTTTCCTCTTCTGAGAGAAGCAAAGCATGCTGCATTTTTAATGTTGATGACTCCTCATTAAAAACTTTACATGCTCCTAACTGACTTTAACATGCTGAAGGACTGCCTTTTTCTTTCAGATGTGTTAGAGTTCATATTAGCACTACTTTACCCTTGTTTCTGAATTATTCTAATGACGGCAGCCACTCTACCAACCTGTCTGTCAAGATGTGGGTGGCAGGCTATTATTTCACTTCATAAATCATAATTTACAGGGCTTTTTATATCCATCTTGGGGATAAACACTTTATGCTTTGTGTTTTCAGCAGCAATATAAAATGTAATTGATACTTAAAGCAATATGTTAGAAATATGGACATAGAAAACTGGGAGAGAAAAATCACAAATGTTTAGTTTTTCTGTGGGTTGGTCTACATACTGAGCATTTTTTCCATCTGATTTCATATTCTTAGCACTTCAACAGAGGATGATGATGAATTACATGTACATGATTGCTGCCTGTAGGTTACTGTAAGGATGTTTCTCTAGTTACAGGCACTCAGAGGATCAGTAGCTCAACAGGAATGTTCTGTAATGTTTCTTGTGCTGCTAAATAAACTGATCATTTTGCACTATTGTCTTCTAGATTCATGAAAAACTGCATTATTACGAAAAACAGAATCCTGTGCCCATACTCCACAGTGCAGCAGCCTTGGCAGATGATGTAAGTGTCCCCTGCTGAGATCACTGGTACCAAGTCTCCCAAAAAACTGTCTGCAAGCAAAGCTCCTCATAGTGCAAACATATGAATGTAATCCTCTGAGCTGAAATCATAAGAAGCTGCAAATGTTTCCAAAGGTGCTGTCAGCACTGGGCTTGTTGCTGATATTACTTTGATTTTTATTCACTTGCCTGTTATAAAAACACTGCATGTTAGATAGCCTCTTGTTCTGCTGTAGTAACTACGTAATAGAAATTACAGGTTGGAATTCTACTGGGAGGGAAAAAGCTGTCAACTATTAGTGTTTTGAGAAAGTCACAGACAAGAGGAATGCTTTGGAAAAATAAAGACAAATGAGATAGCAGTCCTGCTGACAGAGCATGAAAAATGATAGATAATACTACAGAAATGAAGCATATGAAATGCTTAGGAAGAGGGCTTGTTTTTTTTTTTTTAAAAAAAAAAAAGCTATTTAAGAGAAAGTACAGTAGTGATTTATGGATATTGGAGCTTTCCAAATTACCTTCATAACTAAAAAATAAATGGTAGAAGTGGTCACCACTGATGGAGTAGTTAATTTCCTGTTACTATAATTTTTATTTTAAAGAAAAAAATGCAACCTGCCATTTCTTTCTATTTGGTTAGTTCTAGGATTCAGATGAATTGTGCACACACCTGTATAAACTGACTGAACCTGAGGTAGGCCAGGACAGAGAAATGTTTAATAAACTGTGGTTTAGGTGAAATCCAGAAATCTTTGTTGCACCTGATGATCTCTGGTTGTTTTCTTGGAAAAGGGCATAGGTATTAGGATCTTTTTCAAATACAGCATGTTTGAAACTGTAAATATTTTATGGATGTTTTAAAATAATAACCATTTTTAATATAATTCATAGCTTTTCAAATTATACAAATTGTTAATGTTGTAAATGTAGAATGATAACTTTTTAAAGAAAAAACTAAATTAAACATTTGAAGGCTATTGAAAAAGGGATATAATGTAATTTAATCATACTTCAGTAGGAGGAGAGCTATATCCTATAACATACCAAATATAATAATGCATCAGTTTTGACATCAGGCATAAATTAGTGATATTTTTTTAACCTTCAAGTAGTTTTGAATAATGTTGATAGTAATTTTGAAAATTAGAAACCCAGTTGAAACTCTCTTCATTAAGTTCCTGATGACATATTAATAATCCTTGTTAACATTTGTTTTATGGATCTCTGGGCTAAAATTCTTATTAAGAGTCATTTCTTATTTTTGGATGCAAAACATAATTCTTGATATTTTCAGAAATGCTGAGCAACCTCATTCTCTGTTCAGCTCCATTTAAAATATAGTGTTGGATATCCCCAAATTGAAGTAGTCTCTCACTCTTCAGTTTAAGAGGTCAGTTTTCTTTCCTTACTCCAAGGATGTATTATTATGCATATTTATACATGGCAGTATTTTTAAAATGTTCATATGTTGGAACATGAGTATCTCTAGACATCTGCTGTTTCCAAGCATAGCTTTTTTAATGATCCTATTGCAGGCACTTTGTGTCTCTTATGTGTGGTTGAACAGCTGGTTTTATGGGCACCATCTTCTGGAACTGGGATGTCCTTCGGCAGCTGAGGTCAGGCCTGCATTTTGCAGGATTTTGTGTGTTTTAGCAGCTATCAACAAGCTTTGAGGAAGTGGATTTACATACAGTGATTTCTGTACTCCCCAAATGCACGGAGTTTTACGATTGAAGCATTACTCAGTTTTTGGCCCATTCATCTAACTAAGTGTCAGTTTCAGGGGCTGAAGTGCATGTTGGTGATGGAATAGCTTATTTCAGTGGGCTTTAAATTACCATTTTTTTCCCTCCTAGTTCTGTAGTTATACAAAGAAGGAAATATTCTTACTATCAAGTACATATTTCCTATTTAAAACATGAATTTGGGATGCTGCCTGTGTAACTAGAAACTGTTTAAGGAGTGTATTTTTATTCTTGTTTGGCATTAATTTTTGAATCAATTTTAGAGGTAGCAATTGTGACTAGCTTATTTTCTGAAGGTTTTTGTGTTCCTTGCTGCCATTTTTTTTCTCACACCTCGTTGGTGACGATTACAGTGAATTTTCCATCATGGATTCTGTTTGCCTCTTATTTTGGAGCAGCAGTGTTTGCAGGTTTTTTTGATTTCGAGCAAATAATATAAATGTTGTTGAAACTATAGATATATTCTTCACATAATGCTTCTAGGCTGCTAGAAATGCAGTACTGACAAAAGAGGTTTCAGAACTTCCTCAAGAAACTTCAAACTCTCTAACCACAGTGTTCTCCATCTCTCCAGCCTCACTCCAAATCTGCATCCCTCCTCTATTTTATTTTTCTTTCTCCAAAGTTTTCATGAAGGACTTGGTAAAATGTTGTGAATCCTTCAACAGAGAATCTTAGAGTTTTCCTGCAGTCTTTGGCATGTGAGGTGATCCAAAATATTCCATATTCATTGTACTGCTGCTAGCAACAGTAAAAATAAAACAATAAAAATCCAGTCCAAAAGTGCTAGACACAAGCAAGCAGCTCTGGTGATAGGTGTTTGCAGATGTGGTAACGTAGTTCTGCCTTCCTGCTTCTCTGGATATCACAAGGTGTTACACGTGCATTTAGGACTCTTATGGGAGTATTTGGAAAAATCTTATAAATGATGTGAGTGAAAACAAGTTTTTAATTTTTTCATTTCTGAACAAGTATTTTCTAAATTACGATAAAATTCAAACATCTGTTAAAGCAATAACAAAATATTCCTTCTCTTGCTGTTATGTACCCACATTTACATTTGCACCATCAGAGCAAAGAGCTCAGAAGTTAAAACTGCTCGTACACATCATCCGGGAGAGGAATACTGAGCAGTCATTCTTGCTGACTGATGGATAGTTCTGATCAATAATATCAATCTAATTAATAGATTTTGTTCTGTGATGAGAAGGTAAAGAATAAAAAAGGAGCAGAGGGGAACCTGTGTCATTGAACTGCTGTCATTCCTATCACAGATTATCTGTTTTGCTGAGCTTTTCCATAGAACATGCAGACGAAATTGCAGTTGGATTACCTCAGTATTTGGCTTGAATGTATTTCATTCTGTCCTTCCCTACAGCAGTTGTTTTCTAGTCTTTCTGTATGATTACCCGAGTGATGTTAAGATTAACATTAATTATATCTGGACATTTTTGTCTATGAATTATAGATGTAAGGCTTTGGGAGTGTATCTGCAGAATTTTTCTGTCAGTTCTGTTAGCCTTCTGTTGAAGCTTAAAAAAAAAAGTATTCAAACCATGTTTGATGTCGTCTATAACTGCTTCTAGACTTGTCTATTATATATTATTATGCAAAATGTATTTCAATACAGGCTTATATTGAAAATTTAAAAATTGCAAGTAAGATTAAGCTAGATAAATAAAATAACTGGCTCCAAATAACCTATTTTTCGTAGAAGTGTTTTTATGATACTGATTTAGTGCAAAGAAAACGAGTGATTATCTGCAATCACATTTTGGATTATGAGCCATGTAGCTTCAGAATCTTAAACTAAAGTTCAGTGCTCTGAAATATGTTTTAGTTTTTCCTACTTCTGGAAAAAGTCGAAGTCTGAAATCCTGTAGTAAAATGTGCCTCTTGAGTCCAAATTAGCTGAGAATGTCGTGATAAGAAAAACTAAAAACATGAGCCAAATAGCCATGGGATTAAAAGTTAGACTGCTGCTCTATTGTTCACCAAACCACAATTTTGTAATATAACCAAACATAAATTACTGACCTTGTTGTTAGGACATAGTCTGTGCATTTCAGGGCCTTGAATTGCTGATGACCTGTTATAAAGTATATTATGTTTAACCTGCTTCACATTTAACAAGCTGCTTCCAGTGTATGTGTAAACATAATAAAAGGTTCAGATTGCTTGCGCTGTAGGGGCACTTTGCTTTCTTATCCCACTCCTAAACAGCACAGCTACTGTGGGTTTTTGGAAGCAGTGTGGATTTCACCACCTCATTCAAAACTGTTTTTTATAGACAGTGTCAAAGTTTGATCCAGTCATTTTTACAAGCAGTCCTTTGTCTGCACGCGAAGGACCATTCACTTAAATGAAGTGCTGGGATTTGCCCTCATTGCTATAAATCAGAATGTGATCTGGCTGCACTGTTGCCAGAAATGATTACTTGTGTTAAACTGAGCCGAAAGGCCTGGCTTAAATCTAGTCCACTGAGGGCTAGAAAGAGAAGCATGGTGATTGATGGTGTTTTTCTTCATGCTGGCTTCTGTTTGAACACACTGGAAAGTAATAACCTTGAGCAAGATAGATTCTTGGTTGTCACTGATGCACTGGGTAAAACAATGCCTTTCTAATGGTCTCCATGTCAATTCAAATCTCCCCCACAGCTGGCTGAGGAGCTGCAGAGCAAGTCACTGAACAGCGAGATCAGAGAACTGCTGAAACTGCTGTCAAAACCCAATCTCAAGGTGAGGATGTGTTGCACCTGCAGGGTGTGTGTAGCTGCTTTCTCAGGCTGTGTGGGTTTAGTCTGCCTTAACAACTACATGTATTTCCAAGAAAGGGACATGATGTTAATAGGAAATACTATTTATGAAGGAACACATTTAACATGGCCAGTAAATTATGCTGTTACCAATATTTATAAAAGGAAATCAGTGGAAGACCATTGTTTATTTACAACACATCTGGCAAAAAGTAGATGCTTGTTTTTTTTCTGTAGATTATTTTTATTGTATAGTCTTCATAAATTTATTTTAAAAGTGCATTTACTAAACGATCATCAGTCATGCTGTTGGTTGGTTTAATTGCACTGTGCATAAATGGTATGACCTGATATTTAGAAAAAGACTCCTGAAGGATATTTTCAAAAAATTATAATTTTGAAAACTTCCTGCCAAGTTTCTGGGGTTCACAACAGTGCATCTGTCAGTAGCCTCAGAGCTATAGAGAGTTACTCAGGTTGAAAGGGATCTTTGGAGGTTGTCCATAGTCCATCATCCTGCTCAAAGCAGGGTCAATACTGAGTTCAGAGCAGGTTGCTCTGGGCTCTGTCCCAACCAGATCTTGGAAATGCCTGGGAACAGACATTCCACAACATCTCTGTGCAGCCTGTTCCAGTTCCTAATTATCTTCATAGTAAGAATTGTTTCCTTATATCCAGTCAGAACCTCTTGTGTACTGTTGTTAATACACACTATTTTTCCACTCTGAAGAACAAAGAAAGAATAACAAGCAACTTAGTGCTCTAGGTGCATTTTGCATTGCTAATTGAATACAGCAGTTAAGTTTAGATGAAAAACTGTGGTGTGGAAAGGAGTACTCTGAGAGACAGTTTCTTCTTTATATTCCCTATAAAATACTGATGTAAAAAACTGACATACCATGATAACTTTGAAGTGCTGTAACACTTTAAGGCGAAGACCATTTTTGCCTCCTTTTTAAAGATTTTTGCACAGTTGCTTGTTCTGTAGTTTACAAAGTGACCAGCTGTTTTATTTCTGAAGGATTGAGTAATGGCAATAGCTTATTACAAGAGAAAAAGTTGATGCATCAAATTGCAGAGATCCTCAGTGTCACTGTGGATGTTTTTAGCGATGGCCCATGCATGCCATGCTTCCAAAGCTTTAGTGGATTGAATCTGAAGACATCTGGTTTGCCACTACTGCATTTCTCTCTTTCTCTCTCTTTCAACCTTCTTCCCCTTCCCTTGCTATCTTCCCCTCTCACTCTTACGTGCTTTCTCTCCTTCACTCAGTCTTGCTGTCCATCTGTGTTTCTCTCACTTTCACTGTTACATTTAAGCTGTTAGATTCTAATCTTAGCAGGATTTTAGGAAAAGAGTTGCTGTACCTTCAGTAGGGTTAATAAGCTTGAACATATGCAGTAATTTAGCAGATATCTTCCTTAGCTGTAAGAAGACAAACTGGTGCCTGTTGGGTCCCGAGCCCTTTGCATGGTCACACCAGCTCATCCAGAGCAAGAGGCAGCTTTCTCTGCCCTGCATAGCTTGTGTGTGCTGGGGGGAAACTGTCAGTATGCCTGCTATTCTTCCTAGAGATTATCTTCTCTACCTGCCATCTCCTGTCAGACATGACTGGGAGAGATGGTAAATATGACAGTTGTCTCCATCATGTTGACAAGGGAAGTGTGCTGTGTGCATTTCACAGGCCATTTTAGATGCTTTCTCCTCCTTTTTCTTAGACAGAAGGGGAAAAGAATGAAGGAGTTGAGACTCAGTTTTCTAGTTATTCTCCAAACATGCTCTTAGTCTGTTCATTTGAATCAGAGCTAATGTAGTACCTTGCTGAAGATTTTCTTGCACTTCACTGTTAGGCTGGTGCTTAGAGAGGATTTGTTTCCCTTCTAGATTCCTGGGACAAAATGATGTCCAAAACAAAAGTTTTCCATGCATCTGAAATTACTTGGGATAACTGATGCATGTTTTCCAATGATGCTATATAGGCTTTATCTGAAAATTTGTATATGGCTTAATTTGGGATTGATTTAAGCCATCTGTGTTTTACTCTGCAGGGGAAACTTTCCTCTCCTGACCTGGCTTATAACCACAGTGCTATCTAGAGCCAGCAGGAGAGCTTCCACTGCCTCCAGCTCTTCTGTAGCACATTCATGGCACCATGATAGATGGTTAGGATAAATTTACTGCGCTACAGCACTGCTTGCAGAGGTTTGGTTGTGTGAAGTCTTTACAGCAACTGTATGATTACATGAATATTTACATGCTCTCATTTGGTGTTACAGTATTTTGTTAAATAATTTTCTGAGCATTTCCATCTGATACATACAGCTGTGATTGTGTGCATGATGTTTTTATTGCTTAATGGTTTCAATCCATAGTGAGATACTCTAAACAAGAAAAATTAGGTTTATCAGACCTGAGATTTTGAAAATGTCCTGGAATTTGTTAGAAGGTTTTGTTGGGTGAAAAGAAATCAGGTAGGTTTGTATGTGTGTGCTATACCTTGATATAGCTATAAACAAGAAGGTCAATGTTCCTTTATCTTACAGCCTGAATCAAATTGAATGCAGTATTTCCTTTTTAAGCAATCCAGAACTTAACTGACCAGAATGTATGGTCATCTCACTTTCAGAAAATCTAAGTGCAGCAAAGCACTTAATTCAGATGGTTTGTGTCATAACCCCAAATGTGTAATCAAATCGTTTAGCAAGCTGTTAATAAATGTTTACACTTCTAGCAAGTATGTATGCAGGTATAGAAGTTCTTCCCAGTTGTTTGTTAAAAAGCAGCTTAAGAATTTAACTTGTGGAAGCTTGAATGGTGGCAAATAAGTAGTGCTAGTTGTATCGGAACTTATATTGCTGTGTTTCCTATGGCAGTGTGGTATGTGGGGATTACTGGCATTTTGTGTTGTTATTCAGTTGCAATAAAGTAGCTCAAAGGTAAGTGTGGCAAGCTAGCTGTAGGCTAAGTCAATTTGCTGACAGACAGTTCTGGCCCTTAATCTGACTGTTATGGCTTCTTTTAATACTTTATATTTACTTACTTAATACTTAACACAGGAGCTGATGCTTACATTCACTGCATGTTAGGTAACCTGTGTGATATTACAGAAAACAGCAATCCACTATTTTCATTATAAGCACTGAGTGGGGGGCAATGAAGGACTGTGTTGCTGTGTGTAAGGTTTGATTCTGTACAAGTTAGGGTAATGTGCTGCATTTAAAGGTGATAATTCCTGGTCTGGCTGGAAGCTGAATACTGCAACCTGCTTCTGGCTTTCTTCTCGGTTCTGGAATGACTTTTTAAGTTGTTCATAGTTTCTGAGGTGTAACCATGAATTAGATTATTTTTCATTCCCCTTCAAGCTTACCTTACTTATTTTATGAAGGAAACATTTAAAAGATTGTTTGTGTGTTCAAGACTTGTGTTTTACATTTCAGTTTTACTGATGGACAGGACATTTACATTGAAGTACTGCGAGTGTTGGAGAGTTCTCGTTTGGGGGCGGGGTGGGAGAGGGGATTGAATTAACAGTAAAATTAAAATATTCTTAAGAATTAATAGGGGATCAGAGATCTACCATACCTTTTAGCCAAATATTTAGAAAGTGAATGTTTTGTCTTTCTGTCATGTGAGTGCATGTTCTGGACTCCAGTGAGAGCAGTCAAGGGGCATGTCGAGTATTGATGTGCTGCTGAGAAATGCTCCACTAATTTATATTCACTGTATGTTTGGGAAACCTTAACTGATCAAAATTCTTCAGATTCCTTTTCTCAGTGTAAGTTCTTCATTTCAAATATCAAGAAAATTTCATTGTCATGACGTAAAACTTTGCCTACAGTTTTAACCTGCTATGTAGAGAATGTAAAGAATATTTTTTCCTAAAGTATTTCTGTTGTACATATTGTATCTTTTTTTCAGTATGTGTTTTTCAAGGAAATATGAAAACAGAAATAGCCCTAGAGCAGTATTGTTTACCAACAATCTGCTTTGCTTTTTAGAAGGAAGTAGGAAAAATGGGAGCATCTTTTTCTTTTTCTCCAGAAAATTCTCTACAGTTTTTTAAAGATATATTCAAATAGTTTGAACTAAGAAGGTGAATTTGCAGATAAGCTGTAAAAACTGTTCTTTTTGCCACAGCACAAGAGCAAATATTATTTTTTTTTAATTATTGGAAACCTGAAAAGCTAAAGAAATCACCTGTAGGAATTAACAATTTAGGTACTTTTTTATTTAATGCATCTGTAAACTGCATTGGTTAAAAAAAAAAACTGTAAAAATAATGGATCATCTTTTTAGTTCATTGAACGATTTTATCTCAGTTGTACTCACTTTGACACAGACTCTGGATATTTCATTTGTATCTCACTTGCTCTTTACTTTGTGTTTGTAACAGCAGTTACTTTCTTAATCATCGTGTATTAAAATGAGAAATTTATCATTTGAAGTTAATCCCTGTTATGATAAATATAATTTATAAAATTATATTTTTTTGCAGTCATCAGTATACTAAGCAGAACAGTAATTATTTTAAAAGCCTTTGCCACTGTGCTAAAACTATTCTGAAGGATGTTTATACATCTTATGACCTGAAGGAAATTAAACTCCAAAGAATGCCAGTGGTGGTTCTGTCTATTTCAGCAGAGTTTATCTTCTGTTTATGTGCAGTGAACGGGTTGCCAACTGCTAGTTAGAAACATGAAGCAGGTACATAAACAAGGGCACAAGGCACAACTGTGAATGACTTCAATGCATCATGGTATAAGGGAATGTAAATTATTTGGAACACTTTGGGAGCTGTACCTGTAGCTATGCAGGGAACAAGCCATGGGCATTCTTTAAGTATTTTTCTTGGCTTTGCTTTTATTACTGTAGAATGTATAGAATTTTGGAAGTAACTTGAAGATAAGTTGCAGAGTAAAGGGAAAACCTCTCATATGACTGGGAATGTTTTCAGATTAATTTATTTGAGGACGACTTGAATGT